AGAACCGGGCCCGCACCCATGTGCTCAGCAAGGAGGTACAGCACCTCCAGGAAGAGAAGTCCAGGCAGGTGAGGACAGCTTCTGACTGCAGAGCCTCTCCAGCTGCGTGGACGCAGGGCCTGCCTCGGTTCCCGGCCGTGGCCGTCTTCCTCTGCGCCTGAGGGCTTCTCTGAGTGGCCAGCACTCAGGCCTGAGAGGCAGCCTTTAGGTCTGACTCTGGCCGGGTGGGTGGGCAGGTGGGCCTCCCCGTGTGGGAGCCCTGCCCCTCCCAGACAAGACGAATGCTTCTCTGTTCTGCTGCTTTTTGTGGGTGTCTGCTCTCCGTCCTGCTTGACCAGGGCGATAAGCAGGCTCCAGGCCCTGACGGGGCTCTGGCTGGCTCTGTCCCCAGTTTCTGGACTTAATGGAGACGATCGATAAGCAGAGAAAAGAGATGGCCAGGAGCGGCAGGTGAGCGCGGCCCCAGGGTCACAGAGCTACAGCTCAGGGGGGCAGGGTGCCTGACGTTTCGGCCCTGACTCTGGCCTCCTGGGGTGACCGACCCCGAGGTTCGTCACCTGCCCAGCGACGAGAGGGTAGCATGTGCTTGCCCAGCGCCCTGGCTGGGGGGTTGCGGCCGGCACTGAGAATCTCCCCGCCGCACCTGGAGCGCCGTGGAAGCGGGAGAAGCAGCGGCTGGTACCCGAGCCCGGGGGGCCTGGCGGTGCTCTGAGGTGGGGCTCTCGGGCCTTCCTTTCTGCTTACAGGGCATCGGCCGCACGTGTGGAGCAGCTTCAGGAAGCCCTGAACGAGAGACATTCGGTCATCAATGCCCTCAAGGCCAAGTAAGTGGTGCGGAGGGCAGGAGAGTGGGGGAGGGGTGGCTCCGGAACATCTTAGAGACCTGTCCGTGGGCAGAAGAGTGATACGCACAGGAACCCTAGACACCAGTGTACAAAGTTGAGGTGGGAGACCACTTGGTTGGTCATCCTGGAAGGGTTCTTGAAGGAGACGAGCTCTAGCTGAGTTGACTAGCGGTAGGCAAGAATGAGAACACGGCGCTTTCGCGAGGCTCCAGGTGCAGCCAGGGGGGCTGGCTTTTCCCTCCCTGCAGGCTGCAGATGGCGGAGGCTGCCCGGGCTCTGTCCGAGCAGAAGGCCCAGAGCCTGGGGGAGCTCTTGGCTGCCGCAGAGCAGGAGCAGCAGAGCCTGGCGCAAAGACAGGCGAAGGAGCACAGGCTAGAGCAGCAGGTGAGCAGGGAGGGGTGGGCTGGCACAGGGTGGGCGACTGGGCAGGCGATGCCTGCCGGCGTGACCGGTGGTGACTGGTGCCCTGTCACCCGCAGGAGGCAGCAGAGCGGGAGTCTAAGCTCCTCAGAGACTTATCCGCTGCCAACGAGAAGAACCTGCTTCTGCGAAACCAGGTATGGGGGTGTGGGGCCAGGCCTCCTGGGAGGTGAGGCAGGGGCCTCGGGGCAGGGGCCGGGGCCACTGCTGCCCGTCCATGGTGCCGGCTCCCCAGGTGGACGAGCTGGAGCGGAAGGTGAGGTCTCGGCAGGAGCAGCTGTTCCTGGCCCGGCAGGAGCTGAGCAGCGCGACGGCGGAGCTGAAGATGCGGGCCAGCCAGGCCGAGGGTGGGCACCCGCCCATAGCTGAGGGCCCGGAGAGGGGAGGACAGGGCGCAAGGGCCCCCCGGGGAGTCCCACCCATGCTCTCCCCCCTGGGCTTTCAGAGCGTCTGGAACTGGAGAAGAAACGGTCCCGACAGAGCTTGGAAGACTTGGAGCAGCTGCGGGCCAAGGAGGTGCTTGTTAATGACATCGCCGGTCCCTGCTGTCCCTGCTGTCCGTCCAGGGTGGCATGGTGTCCCCCGTGCACACCCCTGCCTGTGCTCCCCTGACAGCCTCGGGGCGCCGGCTGGTAGCTCTTTGCCAGCCCCAGCAGATGACAGACCCAGAAACTCCCGACCAGCTTCTAGAAAGCACGCTAGCGCCAGCTGCCACCTGGGGGTGGCACTGGGATGTGTTCTCCATCCTTGCTTCCTACAAAGCAATAAGGAGCAGCCCCTCCGGGAAGAAAGTGTCCCCAGGACTCGCCTGCCACGGGGTGGGGGTTCCACGAGGGGACATAAGCTGGGGACCTAGTCTTCCAGCCTGTTCTGCCCCCTCACCTGGGCAGGTGGAACACGTGACTCGTCACCTGGAAGAGAGTGAGAGGGCCATGCAGGAAAGGGTACAGAGGCTGGAGGCCTCGCGCCTATCCCTGGAGGAGGTGAGCATGTGCTGGCTGGGTGCCAGGCCCTGCCCTTCCCTGGGGCATCCCTTCTGTGGTCTCAGAACCCCATCAGGACCACCCACTAAGAGCCCTGAGGCCAGAGGGACTTAATGCAGTGGGATGTGGGATCCCTCAGCCATAGCAACCCTGCCTAGTGAGCGAGGCTCTTGGGAGGCTGGAGCAGGGGTACCCCTGGTACTCCCAGACGAGTCCCTGGAGGGCAGGACAGGCCCAGTGGGGGACTGTGTGTGGTGGAGGACACTGTGTGTGGTGCAGGAGCTGAGCCGGGTGAAGGCGGCGGCTCTCAGCGAGCGTGGCCAGGCTGAGGAGGAGCTCATCAAGGCCAAGAACCAAGTCCGCCTGGAGGAGGTGAGCCCACAGCCGGGCAAGCCGGGAGCCTGCTGCTTGTGGTGCCTGCCAGGGAGCGAGGCCTGAGGGGCTGAAGTGCACAGGCCAGACCCAGATCTGTGGCTCAGTAGTGGGAGGTGAGAGACAGGAGCCCCAAGGGTACAGGGGCAGATAGGAGTCTGAGCAGGTCAGGTCTAGGATCACATCCAAGCCCCCTACAAAGAGCCACTGACGACCAGCCCTGGGATTGGGGGAAGGGGTTTGCATAGCCAAAGCCAGGACCCAGAAGGCAGAATGGCTGGCCTGGGAGAGGGGGCGCCTGTAGCCTAATTAAGCGTAGCCTGTTCAGAGTACGCATCCGAGGCAGCTTCCGTGTCGCACGTGAACACTCCCCCTGGCTGAGCAGGGGGGTCCCTCCCACCCCTGTGAGCCCAGGGCCTCACGCAGGGAAGCAGCAGGCAGGCCTCGGGCCCGCTCCACGTTGCTCACCAGCCCCCCTCCCCCCCCAACAGCAGCAGCGCCTGGCTCACCTGGAGGAGAAGCTGCGGCTGCTGGCACAGGCTCGGGACGAGGCTCAGAGCGTCTGCCTGCAGCAGACCCAGGCGGTGGCCGATGCCCAGGCCCGGGCCGGCCAGTTGGGCCTGCAGGTTGAAGGCCTGAGGCGGCGCCTGGAGGAGCTGCAGCAGGTACGCGGGACTGGGAGGGACGCAGCAGGAGCTGCAGCAGGTACGCGGGACTTGGAGGGACACACCCCTGGCTTCCAGCCCCCTCTCACCCCCATGTCTGGCAGGAACTGAGCAGCAAGGACCAAGAGAAGGTGGCAGAGGTGAGCAGGGTCCGGGTGGAGCTGCAGGAGCAGAACGGCCGCCTGCAGGCAGAGCTGGGGGCCCAGGAGGCGCTGAGAGAGAAGGTGGCGGCCCTGGAGCGCCGGCTGAAAGGTGAGCTGAGCTTGGCGGGACCAGTTCTCCCTGGGTGACCCCACGGGTGGCCAGGCTGCAGCGCTGGGCAGTGCTCATGACACCGGGCAGTGTCCGCATCACAGAGCTCCCCCCGCCCCCAAGGGGGCTCTGCCCACATCTGGATGGCCTGGGGTCCAGGGCGGGCCCTGAGCCGGGCACCGCCCCCACCCGAGTTTCTTGTCCCGCAGTGATCGCAAGTGACCACCGGGAGGCGCTTCTGGACAGGGAGAGTGAGAACGCCTCTCTCCGGGAGAAACTTCGGCTCAAGGAGGCAGAGATCGCTCGGATCCGGGAGGAGGAGGTCCAGAGGGCCAGCTTCCTGCAAAATGCTGTCCTGGCCTACGTGCAGGGGTCTCCTCTGAGGGCTATGAGCCCCCAGAAGTGAAGGGAGGCAGGAGCATGGGGGAGGAGGCAGGAGGGCAGCACCTCCCAGACGTCTGTGGGTCCCATCCCTGCCTGTCACTTTTTTAAAACAGCCTGGCAGGGGGGTCTGCCACTGGGATCCGGGGCTCTTGGGATCAGTGAGTGGGGACCGCTGCTGCTCACCACCAGGGTGCCCGGCTTGGCGAGCCCAGGGCCGCTGGCCACGACGTCTGGAGTGGGCACCCCTCCGGGCGGTCCCCAAGTCCTTCCTCCAGTCCCCAGGAACATGAAGCACGCATGGGGGAAGAAAACCCAGAAGAGCCGCCCCTGCTCCACGGCAGCCCCTTCTCGCTGGCGGTCAGCCCGCGAAACGTGCCCACACAGGCCCCTTTCACAACTGACCATGCACAGCGGCTGCCCCGTCCGCTGGGTCTCTTGAAATACATAACTTTTGCAATTTGTGATACATTCTGGGCTGGTACCTTTTCCCACGTTTGTGCGCCGATGCCCCAGGCACCCTCTGCCCCAGCCCTGGAAAGAAGACCCTCCGGGTGCATCTGGGTGGCCTTTCCCTCCTGCCCACGGAGGCGGGGGGCGGTGGAGGGACAGGGCAGCGCTAGCACCTGTAGTCTCCTGGCCAGAGCGCGGGTGGGTCTCACCCCCCGCAGAGCCGGCCCTGGGCATGCCCTCCCCGGCAGGGCCGCAGGCACACAGACCGCCCCAGCTCAGCCTGGTGGGGGCCGGAGGGCCCTGCCCGCGCTGCCCCTTCCCCACCTCGGCGCGCAGCAGGGATCCCGGGGCGCTGGGGAGCCCGCCCGGGCTTGGGGTACTGGCCGGGATTCGCCGCATCCCCACCCCTCGGCGGAGTTCTCCGGGAACCGCGAGGGCCGGGTTCGGGGCGGGCCCGCGCCCCCCGCGCCCCCCGCCGGCCGCGCTCGGCTGTCTCCGCGCCCGGCGCTCGGCGGCGCTCGGCTGTCTCCGGCCGCTCGGCTCGGCGCTCGGCTCGGGTCCGCGGCCGCTGCGGCGCGGGGCATTTCTCCGCAGCTCGGCTCGCGGCCGCGCCCGCCCGGCCCGCGCCCATGCAGGCCATCAAGTGCGTGGTGGTCGGCGACGGGTGAGTGCGCGGCGCGGAGGCCGCGGGCCGGGCGGGGGCGGCCCCGGGGACCCGGCCGGGACTGAGCGCAGGGCTCCGGGGCGGGTACCGCCTCGGCCCGGGCGGGGCGGCTCTCACCAACCTCTTCCCGCCGACGCCCTTACCACGCGCGCCCGGGGGCCGGGCAGGAGCGGGAGGGCGCCTCGGGGCGGGGTCCCGGCTGGCCGCCGGGCGCGGGCCTACATTCCGGGCCCACCTGATGCTGCCCCGGGGCCGCCGCCCGGCCTCCGGGTGGGTGGGGCCGGGCCTCTCACTTGGACTGAGCCCCGCTCCGGTCCCACCCTCCCGGGGTGCCGGGGGCGCCTCCGGGCCGGCTCGCCCCGCCCTACCCGCTGGAGGTCTCCGCCTGCGGTTCGGGAGAGGGGGCGGCCCTTGCTGGGCAGAGGGCTGGAGGCTCGGCCGGAGCAACGTGGGCTCGCCCTGTGTCCGCAGCGCCGTGGGGAAGACCTGCCTGCTCATCAGCTACACGACCAACGCCTTCCCGGGAGAGTACATCCCCACCGTGTGAGCACTCCGGGGGGCGGGTCTGCGGCCGGCCGGCGCCCGGCTCCCCTGGCGGGGCGGAGGGGGGTGGTCTCGGCTTGTGGGGTGGGGCCAGGGTGCCGCCAAAGCTCGGGGTCCGGGCAGCCTGCGAGCCCTGGACCTGGGCTGACCATCGTGCTCTGCCCGGCAGTTTCGACAACTACTCCGCCAATGTGATGGTGGACGGGAAGCCGGTCAACCTGGGGCTATGGGACACTGCCGGGCAGGAGGACTACGACCGGCTGAGGCCATTGTCCTATCCCCAAACTGTAGGTGACAACAGGGCCAGCCGCAGGAGCTGGGTGGCTTGGGTGGGGCCTTGGAGGTCCTCCTGTGTGAGTGTGCAGGGAGCAGGGGCCGTTTGGAGGTCCTTGACTGCTCCCACCCGTGCCCCCCTCTCCCTTTCTCCCAAGGATGTCTTTCTGATCTGTTTCTCTCTGGTGAGCCCGGCGTCCTTTGAGAATGTCCGAGCCAAGGTAGGGCATTGCCCTCGGAGGGCCTGTCTGTGGGAGAGCGGCTGGTCCCGAGGGCTTTCCCTGGTGGGGCGGGGCCTCTTGCCTGAAGACCTCAGGTCACTTGTTCTTTGGAGGCAGAGGAGATCCCTGTTTTCCTTGGGTCTGAAGGTGACCAGGGGGAGTGACAGAGGAGCAGAGGTGGGATAGAGGTGGCAGGGAGAGCTGATAGACCCTTCAAACTTCCAGGTAGCATTTTTGTCCTTAGTCATTTCCCCACCAAGCCCACGGCCACTTCCTGAAGCAGGAAGGGTTCAGTGTGGGTCCAGGGACTGAGATGAAGGCACCCCTGGGAGCCATGGCCTCTTGCAGGCATAGCTGTGGGGGAACCCCTGGGTGTCAGGGTCAGAGCCTCCATCCCCACAGTGGTACCCAGAAGTGCGACACCACTGCCCCCACACGCCCATCCTCCTGGTGGGCACCAAGCTGGACCTCCGTGATGACAAGGACACCATCGAGCGTCTGCGGGACAAGAAGTTGGCACCGATCACCTACCCCCAGGGCCTGGCCATGGCCCGCGAGATCGGTGAGTGGGCACTGTGGGGCCCTCGGGTGGGGGCAGGAGAGAAGGGGCAGAGGCAGGCTCTGGAGGGCCCCCCACCTGTGCTGACCCCCTCCTCCCCCTCCTTGCATTCCCCCTCCCAGCTGCGCTGCCCCCCTCCCTTGCTGTGCTCCCCCCCGCACTGACTCCCCTCCTCAGCATCCCCCCCACCCCGACTGCCCTCAGGCTCTGTCAAGTACCTGGAGTGCTCAGCCCTCACTCAGCGGGGCCTGAAGACGGTGTTTGACGAGGCCATCCGGGCTGTGCTCTGCCCGCCGCCTGTGAAAAAGCCGGGGAAGAAGTGCACGGTCTTCTAGAGGGTCTTCTAGAGGGGGCTTCGGGAGGGGCAGCCCCGCCCAGCCCCGGTTTGCTGTCGTGCTGACATGTCTGGTGTCCTTGAGTCTGCTGTGGGGGAGTGGTGTGGGTGGGGAGGGGGAAGCATGGGGACGAGGCCACCGCTCCTGGGGACAGGGCTGGGGCAGTGGGGTCCTGTCTGCTCTGTCTCCTCTCTTTGGGGTTATAGCTCCAGCTGTACCTGGACCCCACGGGAGGCTGGAAGGGAGCAGGGTCTCCCTCAGGCTGCAGGGGCGGGTCCAGGGCAGCCCCAGGATGGGCTTCCTGATGGGGGGGGGGGGGGGGGGTGGGTCCTGTTCGAGCACCCCAGGATCGGGTGGCTCTTACTTCTTTTATACAATAAACGTTCTCCACCATCTCCCGGCTGTCTGGGTGCCCTTCTCTCTGGCCTGGGGTGCTTTGTCCCTAACCTCCCCCATAGAGAGTAGAGGGGTGAACTTGACCCTACACGCTGGGCAACAGGAGAAAAAGATCTTGCTCAGCTGTGTCAGTCCCCAAACGATGGGACCCAGACCAAAGCAGGTGTAAGGGCACGTAGCCCCTTCGGGGTGAAGAAAGCCCCCGTTGTCCTGACCTGAGGCCTCCAAGAGGGGCACACCCCGGGGGTGGGGGCGGAGGTGGGCTCCAGTCAGCCGGCTCCCAGGTGTGGTGAGAGGACAGCCTGTAGTCAGGGCCCACCGAGCCCTACGGAGCCCCTGGCGGGACTGTGCTGGCAGCTGGTAGCCTCCCCCTAGCTCCCCGCCACCCACCAGGGCTGGAAGAGAAGAGGTCAGGAGGAAAGGCAGCCCATATAGAGAGAAGGGAGAGAAGAGGAGAGGAGGGAGCAGCAAGGGGCCAGTCCGTCATTGCTGAAGCCAGAGACAGTGGGAGGTGAGGCTGCCGTCAGCCTGGGAGGGCCCCGCGGTCCAGGAGCTTGGACTTCACCGCAGGGCGCGCTCCAGGCAGACCCGTGATTAGAAAGCCCTGCTCCCCGTGCGCTGCACAACAGGCCCCTGCCAACAGGCACGCCAGCTGTGAGATTTTGGGGAATGTGCTAGTCAGTTGTTCAAGAGCCTTTATTAACTGTGTAAACTTGGGGTGCCTGGGGGCTCAGTGGGTTAAAGCCTCTGCCTTCAGCTCAGGTCATGATCTCAGGGTCCTGGGATCGAGCCCTGCATCTGGCTCTCTGCTCAGCAGGGAGCCTGCTTCCCCCTCTCTCTCTGCCTCTCTGCCTGCTTGTGATGTGTCAAATAAATACATTAAAAAAACAAACAGTCCAAAGACTCCTAATTGTTCTTGTACACAGGGCTATCACCTATGTTTGGGGTTATCTACGCCTGGTGTGTCTGTGTAGCAAGGGTGCCACGTAAAGGCTGGGGAGCTCGGAGCCCCTGGGCAGCTCAGGCGGCTCGTCTTCTGACTCGGTTTCGGCTCTGGTCGGGACCTCGAGCCCCACGTCCAGCCCTGTGCCGTGAGCTCCACACTTGGCAGGAAGTCTGCTTGAGGTTCTCTCTCTCCCTCTCCCCTGTCCCCGCTTCCACGCTCTGTCTCTCTAAAAATAAATGACTCAAAAAAAAAGGTGGGAGACCATGCATCTCTCCCCAACTCTGCCCTCAATGGTATCAAGTGTGGGAGTCTTTAGGCCGTGGGAACAGGAGAGTTCTGCCACAGGACTTGATTGGCTATTCGTCGTGTAGACTTAAAGCAACAACACACAAATGCAGATAAAACTCACAGGTGCCATGTCTCGTGCACTGGGTGCTCCGTGAAGAACTCAAGAAGGTGAGAGAATGTTCTTCCCGCACTTGAAAACTCTCACCTGATTCAGCAAAGAAGCCTTTCAGCTCACCGGCAGATCAGCGAAGCTCCAACGCCCACCTCTCTCGCCTCCCTTTCCGCTAACTCCTTACCTTACCAACAACACTTATGTCAGGGTTACGCCCACAGAGCTGGTTGGTAAGAACTCCGCTGCTTCTACCCCGATGGCCTCTGGACAGGGCCGAAGGCCATTCCTGGTCAAATGCGTCACCAAGCTTAGGAGCTGGCCTGGAAGGTCCTACCTCCCAGGCCCTGCCAGGGACCCGGCCGGATCTTTAAATCTTGGGCATGGGAGCCAGCCTGCCCCCTGGCCTGGGGTCTAAGCTGAACGGCACCTGCGTACCTGGGACTCATTCCCACACACGGCGCTGGGCTCTGCATCTCTGGCCGCTTGCCAGCAGCCTAGAAATCAGTGTACAGGTTAGGCAGAAGAATCATGTTTATTGGAGAGATGGGGGGACAGCAGTGTGCTCAGCATGGGGCCGGGGTGTGTCAGAGACTCAGGAAGCCAGGAAGCCCCCGTCCACCGGCACAGCAGAACCCGTGGTCATGCCGCTCCGGTCACTCAGCAGGAAAAGGATGGCGTCTACCACGTTCTCCACCTCTGTGGGCAGAGTGGAAGTCAGGGCATAACCAACGGAGGCTGCCCTTCATCCTTCCCTCCCAGGCCTCAACGAGGCAGGTACGGGGGCTCCTGCCTGACTCACCAGCAAACTTGCCAAGTGGGATTCGATCCAGCATGGTCTTGGCCTTCTGGGGGTTGCTCCAGTTGGCCTGGCCCATGGGGGTCATCACCACTGTGGGGTTCACCGTGTTCACGCGGATCTATACCAGGATAGGCAGGAGGTCAGCAAGGCAGGCTAGGTGCCCAGGGCCGGGGCGGGGGGCTGGGAGCTGGGTGATGGGAGGCATCCCAGCAGGGCTCACCTTGTGTGGCCCGAGCTCCAGGGCCATCGCCTTGGTCAGCATGTCCATGGCGCCCTTGGTGGAGCCTGTGACGTAAGGCGTGCCTTGAGCCTGAGCTGGCTGCAGGCTTGGGGGTCACCGGGGTCGGGGCCGGGGTGCAGCTGGGGGATCACTCACAGTAGACGCTGTGGTTAGTTATTGCACGCTGTGAGGCCTGGCTGGAGATGTTCACGATGGACCCCGGGGCTCCCCTAGCTATTAAGCCCCTGGCCACGATCTGGAATTGCAGAGGGAGCGTGAGGTAGAGTGAACTAGTCACCCACCATTCCCACTCCCGCTCTGAAGGCAGCTCACCTGGGACACTTGGACGACAGCCCGTAGATTCACGTTGAAGGACCTGGAGGCGGGTGGAGAGACCCTCGTCAGGGACTGGGGCTGCTGCTGCAGAGGCAGCCCTTGCCCTAGGGTTCCTCCACCCTGGCCGGCTCACGTGTCACACGCCTCCTTGGTGACCTCCAGGAAGGGCTGCAGCAGTGCCACGCCAGCGTTGTTCACCAGCAGGTCCACGGGCCCCAGGCTGCCCAGTGCCCGCTCTGTGGCCTCCCAGTCACCCAGGTCCACACACACGGGTTCCACCCCGGGGCACTGTGTGTATGGGGGTGGGGGACACAGCTACCAGAGGCTCCATGCCCAAGGAGGGGCACAGCTGGGCCTCTGCCACACGTGAACTTTCAGACAGACATGGGGAGAGATTGGAGGTCTCAGAGGATCCAGCTCCCTTCTTGGGGTTCAGAACCCCAGGCTGCTGAAGGAGGCGACAGAGGAGCTAACACGGCCCCTGCCCCGCCCCCCCCCCCCCCCCCCCGGCATTTCAGAGCTTAGGGACCTGGAGGCTGGCCTGCCTCTGGCCAGTCCATGTCCTGCACCCCGGTGGCTCAGGCGCCGGGCCTGCAAAGCCTGAGAAAAAAGCCTGAGAAATGGCAAAGCAGCCACTTCGGCCTCCTTCCAAGCCCAGCGGGTGTCGCCGTTCTTCCGGTCGCCGGGTGGCCAATGGAGGCCGAGCGCCCCGGGAGGGCTTGCGGAGGGTCCCTAGTCAGCCCCAGCGCCAGGCGCCTGCGCGTCCGGGCCAGACTTCCCCGCCACCCCGCCCGCCACCCGCGGCCCGCTGGGCGGGGACTAGGCGGCGCATACCTCGCGGACTAGGCTGTCCAAGTCGGCCCGGGTCCGGCTCACGGCCACCACCCGCACACCCGCCGCGTGCAGCGCCTGGACGGTGGCGCGCCCGATGCCTGCGGGGAGCGCGGCTCAGCGTGGCGCACCCCCGGCACCGCGTCCCCACCGCCCGCCGCGCCCCCAGTCCCCCGGCCGCCCGCCGCCCCCGGACTCCGGCCGCCCGCGCCCCCCAACCCCGGCCGCCCCGCAGGTCCACCTTTGCCCGCCCCTGTGACGAGCGCCCGGCGGCCCGCGAGCCCCAGCTCCATGGTTAGCGTTTGGTCCCAGCGCCTGGCGGCCGCAACTCAGCAAGTGCGCGGACGCGGGGCGGGGCGCGGGGCGGCCAATCACAGGCCTGCGTCCGGGCTGGGGGCGGGGACATTAACATACCCCCGCCCCCACCAGTGGGGAGACTCGGGGAAGGGAGGCGGCGCGGCAGGGGCGGCGGGTCCGCCCCGCGTGAGTCGGCTTCGCAGCGTCCGCGAGCGTTTCCCCCGCCCGGCTGGTTACAGGAGCGCAGACGTGGTCCTTAATGCCGGGAAGAACTGCGGCGACGTGCGAAGGGGAGAGCGCGGAGCTGGCGCTTCTCGTTTGGTTCCTGCAAATGAGTTCGGTGGGAACGATCGCGCGCCTCCTCCCCGGCCCCGGCCGGGAGCGGCTCGGGAGGGCTCCTCTGGAATGCCCGAGGGAGCGTTTGCACAACTGAGAAGAAGCCAACAAGATCCGCGTTGACCTTAAAGGGACCCCAAAGTCATCCAGGACCACCCACCTGCCACCACCAGCACTTACCAAAACTTGGGCCGGAGAAGAAGAGCTAGGATTGGGGTCATCGAGGTGCACGGTGGCCAGCAAGGGCAGGCATTGCTTCTAGAGGCTTTGGGGTCATTCACAGATACGTCTGTGAGCCCACATGCATACAGATACTTGTAAGATGCACACCCATGCACTGTCTCCCCCATAAAAGCTGATTCGTTTAGCGGGTTATGGCAAAAAAGCTAGAACTGCCTGGAGTACCTTCTATGGCCCAAAGTGGGGTGGTTGCAGGGCCTCTGGGTCACTGGGGCTTTGGGCCCAAGTGGACAGGTTGGAGGAGAGGGTAGTGGGGCAGCCCGCGGCACACATCTGAGAAGCCCCCAGAGAATGGCCAAGTGAGTCCTCCCCGCCAAGCCCTGAGGTCCCCACCCCGGCGCCCCGCAAACCCTGGCCTCCCTGCCAGAGGCCAAGGGAAGAGTGGCCCCCAACTGAAAGTCCTTCCTGAGAGGTACATCTGTTTAGACCCCTTCTGTGGCTTTCCTTTGTCCCCGGAATGCTGTCTAAATCCTCTAACCTGTCCTGTGACCATCAGTGGGCCAACTCTGGCACCAACCTTGCTGTGGGAGGCCATGCAGGTGGGCTGGAAATGCCCTCAGCTCTCCCTGCCCCCACTCCCAGCCCC